GTAGATCCAATGCATTCAGTAGATATTAGATTAAGTAAGTGTGTGTGCATTTGGTTAAAAAATGGCAATGTTAGTACTGTAGTTCATGATAGTCTTCAAAACTGGTATAAAATCTTGGGGCACAAGCAGAGCATATTTTGTTCTAGTGTATTTGGAGAACTCAGAACTCTCTATGTCATGTCAGAATTCCCTTTCTCCACCACCTTTTATAGGTTAGTGATCACAAGAGGTGATCACTGAACCTACAAAACTTCACTAGTGCTGGATCTTTCAGTGCCCTGGTACCCCAGCCATTTGCCTAAATCTAGTAGAGCACAGACTCCTGCTTTAGTGTTGCCTTTGGGGGGATTCACAAAAGACTGTTTCTTGAGCTCTGTGAGCTTCTGAGCCAATTCCACATGACTAATGTTATGCCCATATCCACAGTTGCCCCACTATGATCTACTTTCAAGGCCATCGAAATTAACCTCTCATCACCTTTTACCTCAGAAACCCCAAGAGGCCAAATGTTCCCAGGTCATTCCTCACTATGAGACTCTTTTCCTCCAAAGAGATCTGCACATGTCTCATTTCCTCTTAGAATTCTCTTCCTTTACACTGTCTAAAGTAGTGATTACTCTTCTTCAACATTTACGCCTTGGGATATGGGTATTATACATGTGTTCCTATTTTTCCTCACTGTGGCATCAGGACTTAATTCCATCTTCCTCTTTAAACATCTCAATTATTTAAAAATTATGCTCTCAAACCCTGCTATACTTACATACTTCTTGCAGCCAAAGGCAAGGTTCTTAAACATTCTTCCTAATTCAAATTCTTTAACATTTACCATCTCACTTAATGTATCTTTCTCTAATACAATCATAATCTCACTTATTTCTTTCCCCCAGTTTTATGGAGGTAAAATTAGCAAATAAAATTGCATAAATTTAAAATATAGGGCTTGGGATGTAACTCAGTAGTAAAATGTTTGCTTAGCATGTGTAAGCCCCTGAGTTCAAACCCCTATAATAAAAGAAAAAAAAAAATAAAACAGACATACAACACAATGATTTGAGAAATATGTGTGTCTATATATGTAATAATACACAATCATTATATAATAATCACAATCACATTAGTTATTATATGTATCACCTAACATAATCAAAACTTTTGTGTGTGATTAAGAACACTTAGGAAACTATTATTTCCAATCACCAATTGCAAAGATTAATTTTCACTTTCCTTGGACTAGTTGTACTCACATACTTTGAGATAGTCTAGCATTATTTTAGTAATTTTAAAATATTTCACAGCTTTTTTTTTTTTTTTTTTTTTACTTTTGTAGCCAGAATGGAAAGATGGCAGAAACTAGAAGGAGGAATTTTCTAATTCCTTTTTTCCCAATTTTCTGTGAAGTGCTGGTACAGGAAATGACTGAAAGTTTCTACATCATAATATTCAGTAGGAATGACCTTATTAAACAGCCAATTTTGAAGTAAGTGTGGGCCTGTCTTCTGGTCACAAGCTTGTGTGGTTTAAGGGCAGCCTTCTCATACATACCAAAATACAATTTTACTAAGATGAATGGCTACCTCTTCGAAGATGTATCTTGGATTCTGCTTCTCAGAGGCCAGCAGACACGTAAATATGCAACACATCATAGAATCTAAGAATATCTGTTCCATTTGTTCACCCCTTCCATGACAGTGATTTCTCCTTCACCCCTTAGCATAATCCTCTCTAGAGTTTTATATCTTGAAATACCTTATCATAATTGCTTATCTTTGATTTAGGTACTATGTAGTCTTTTTCATTCCCCTCTATTTGTACTGTATTTCAGGATGCTGACCAGTGGTTGTGATGAGACACTACTAAATGGAGCAGCAGCAAAAGGTGGGAAAATCCAAGTGTTTATTCCCTTCACTTCCTCACAGCCAGACTGTAGCTTAGACATAACTGTGAGCATTTCTATGAGTTCACAGTTCATGTAAAATATTGTATTCAAGATATAGATATAATTCTTTCTTTGGTTCCTAGTAATTGTACTCTTAGCTTTCCCCTTTGGCATAGGAAAGGATAATAGCTCCAGATTATTTATGAGAACAGGATGATTAAACATTTGCTACTGGTTTCTGTTAGTCCTTCCCATAGTCGTTAGTCTTTTAAAAAAATTCAGCCCTCCTATGCTGCTATATTTGAGAGAACTATCTGGCAGAATCATAGCTGATTTACTTTGTGTATTAGGAAAATTGTTTTACATATTTGTTTCATTTTTTGTAATAGTCATTACAACTATAATTCACAAACTTCATTTTATTTTTAAACTATCATTCAAAGTACTGATAGCACTAACCAAGACACACTTCCTTGTTTTTTTTTTTGGAAATCACTAAATTTGTGTTCCTCTGGTCTGATGTCTGTACAACCTCAGTTGCTCCTGTTCCTTTTCTATAAGATTCTCCTGTGTACCAGCTACACCCAGCAATGCCATTTTTGATGTTGTGGTTTTTTTCCCCACTCTTACTGCTCATAATAATAAAATTCTATGTGAAGCATCCATAGATCCCCTGAGCTTTCAGCCATTTAAGTGGTAAGAGAATTACTGGTTTGCACTCACAAGTGGAAATTAACTCTTTTCTGACAGTGATGCTTTTTGTTACTAGGGCCAATATTGTCTCAAACTGGTGTTACTGTATCTTGCTGAAGGAGTTAATCTAGGGTAAAATGCATAAGCAGATATTCTGTATGATGCTGCTAGAGTTTATATTGACCAGCAATTCTTAAGGGTGGAATCTACAGCAGCACTGGCATTTCTTGAGAGTTTGGTAGAAGTGCACCTTTACAATCCCTACTCCAGACTTTCTAAATTAGAAAACTTAGGAATAAGAACAAAGATTTGTGTTCTGAACAGTCATTCAGGAACTTCTAATTCAGTTAAAAGTTTAATCACTGATCTATAAAAGTATAGCTTCTAAACTAGCAATATACAGATATATTCTTAATGTAAAATCATTTAAGTCAATAGTTTTGATTTTTTTTTTGCTGATGTTTTTCACTGATTTTGTTCATCTACTATGAAAAAAGAAAATATATTTTAAGACTAATTTTGTTATCATTTCATTTTCATGCTTTTTAAATTTATATTAATTCCTTCGCTTCACCCAAGTCAGTGTAACAAGAGTTAACAGAGTTTGTCATTGATAAATTGGGGGAAAGAAGGTTAGGAGTTGAAAATTCTGCATTTGTGTACAAAATTTTTATCACATTCTTATTGATTTCTGAGGCTTTACTTTTCATTTATAATTCAAAATAGAATGTTGCTTCTGCCTTGTTGGACCAATTTTGTTCTTACTTTTCTGTTACTTTCCATATTGTGCTTCTTCTCTTAATCAAGAGAAGAAGGAAGGGACAGAGTTTTAAATTGAGTTGGCATGGCCATATATACTTCAAATTCTTTTTTTATTATTATTAGTTGCTTGTTACAACACAATGATCTTGACATATCAGACATTTGAGTCAAATGGGGTATAATTTCTCATTTTTCCAAGTGCAGAATCACATTGGTTATACAGCCACGTATATACATACAGCAATACTAGTGTCTATTTTAATAGTATGGACAATTTCAGAATACAGAGAGTAACTCATGTGATCCTTATGAGTAAGTTTTCAAACCTAACCTACTTACTTGAGGTATTTTTTTCTTTCAGTTTTGTAAAATCAAATTTGAATTTCTATAACACCCATATTAACTAAAACTCATTAGCAAAAGATTTCAGATCAAATTACATTATTTAAAAATTAAATCCATTAATTAACAGAACAATAAACTCAGAGATGACAACCATACTTCTTGTTATCTAATTTATCTCTTGATTATTTATTTTAAAACAAAACTGCATTCTAAGCTGCCAGGATAATGTTAATAAGGGTTTAAAATAAACCCTTTATTGTAAAATAATAAAACCAATAATTATAGATGAATGTATATTTACCTATATTAGCATAGTGGTGGCTATATTTTTTAAAGCTGACCATTTTCCTAAGTAGATTCACAAATATGCCAGCACTATTAGGCAAAGAACCAAAAATAGTAAATTAAAAGCCACTATTTTTGAAATAATACTAATTGCGTTTATTGGTATGTTGATAAAACACCAATATGTGCACAAATTTGTTCAATGGATTAGACCATCCAAGATCTAATGATGAAGTTTCTTTTCTTCACATTTTTTGAAAAGCCACTTTTCAACAACGTATTATTTTTTTTAGAAATTTTGAATTTCTGCTGCTTTAAAATTCATGAATGTACTATGCAATATATATCTATGATGCTTCTTTTGGTGTATTTAAGGCTACATGATACCCCAGCTTTTAATTTTCTAATTTTATAAATACTCTAAAATTGTGAGGCTATTTACTGTTCTTTAATAAAGTCCAACAGAACTTTCTTTAAGCAGCAAGATAAAACTTAAGCAAGTGTGAACAGTACAAATTGTATTTTTAATGGTGTGAGAAAATACCTATAAAGCTGTTTAAAGTGAACTAAAATTATTTGCCAGGATATCATTTACAAATGTGTAATTTTTTGGCAAAAAAGTAAGTGCTACCACCTAAAAGTCTGACTAGACCCTAACTAACAACAATTAGCTGAGGTTTGTGAATTGGAGGAAGAGATGGTTACCCTTTCAAATTTTAACACTATATGTGTAAAAAGAAAATAATATGGTAGGGATTCACATTTCTTCTGCAAATATTTTCATTTACCTTAAAACTTCCATTATAAAATATAATATTTATATTATAACTTCTTGCCCAAATCATTTTTGAGAATTCCATAAAAACTTATTTAAAATTAACACCAAAATTAGTAGACAATATGCAAATATTTTTATTCTAACATTAAATGAGTACAAGATATTAATCAAAAGTAAAATCAGAAACTTCTGTCATTTTGTCCAAATGACTTAATATTCTTAAATATTGTATTAAAACAAGCAGAAAAGGAGTTATACCTGTGTTGGTAGTCTTCTTCACATTTAATACATGCAACATTACCCTTCCAGGAAAATGAATTATGTGATGTTTCATTTATCTTGCATAACTTTCCTGAATGTATTAATGAAGAGATGCACACAACATCCTAGGAATTAAATTAAAGATTAAAAATATTTTTACAAAGGTTTTGGATATTTGAAAGATAATGAATGGTTTCTTGCCTGGAAAGAGAAGGAAATTGTTAAAAAATGTGGAAGCTGTTTTGTGTGCAGTAACATGGGATGTTCTATTTTCTAACATGTCACATATATCCCCAATCACAAACTTTTTCTCCTAGGTGAAACCAACAATCTGCTGTTGGAGACTATGCACTTCTGCATTGAACACAAGGCTGTGACTATTGAAAAGTGGTGTTATGTGACTAAGCAAGGCCAGACATAAAGGTCCTGCAGTTCCATGTATTTGGGAATGTTCATTGAAATCCAATCATCATGCTCTAAGGAACCCCAGGTCACATGAAGAAGTCTTCCTCAGGATTAAGGCTGTTAGCCCCAGCTAAAGACCCAGCTGATAGCTAATATAAGCCACCAAACAGGTGAAAAATCAATCTTTCCAGATAAACTGCAGTCCCAGATACTTTTTGACTATAACTTCATGAGAAACTAGGACCAAAAAGAACCTCTTAGCTGAGACATTTTAATTCACAGAACTATAGAGATAATAATGATATAATTGTCTTAAGCCATTTAAATTTGATGTGATTATACTTAGAAAATAGAAGATCGTAATGTTATAAATCTATACATTTGTTGTTAGGTAAAGACAAAAGTAAAACTAAATTTGATGAACTTATCTGTTATTGCCCCTGTAGTCTATAGGCACTATTCATAACTTTTTGTCCTCCTCTTGTCCTCTTTTCTTTCCCTCTTTTTTCTCCTTTATCATCGTTTTCAAACTTATAATAGTATTTAAGTAATTCTAAGATAAAATGCCTATGAACTTGAATTAGATGATTGTGTTTCTTCTTTGTGGAATCCAATTAAATAATACTCATAAAAAAAAAAAAAAACTAGCTGGGAGCAATGGCACATGCCTGTAATCTCAGCAGCTTGGGAGGCTGAGGCAGGAGGATTGTGAGTTCAAAGCCAGCCTCAGCAAAAGTGAGGGACTAAGCAACTCAGTGAGACCCTGTCTCTAAATAAAATACAAAATACAGCTAGGGATGTGGTGGTTGAGTGTTCCCGAGTTTAATCCCTGGTACCACTTCCCCTAAAGAAAAACACCTAAATATGAAACATACAGAGTTTGCCTAAGGTTATTGCATGGTGATGGTGGAAATGATAAAGTGTCTTCAAAATTATTTATAATAAAACATGTTCTTTCAAACATAATAATGAATAACACAAAAACAAGTAAGAGTTAAAGTACTTTTATGAATTAATAGTTAAGCAAACATCCTTGAGGATCACTTCTTAAGATACTCATAACTAGTAAAGTTAGAGTGTGTTTAATTGTTCTTATTCTCAAATTTAGAATAAAATTTTTCAAGTGATCCTACTAATAAATTTTCATAGTTTACTACACTATTTTTCATTCATATAACAAATTTTTATGTGTCGAAAACTTTTTTACAAGCTTAGTAGCTTAAAGAAATAAAATTTATTATCCTATAGTTTCAGAGGTCATAAATCTGAACAGAATGTCACTGTGCCAAAATCAAGATGCCAGGTTTGTTCCTTCTGGAACTTACAGGAGATAATATTTTCCTGACTTTCCTGGTTTCTAGAAGCTGACCTCAGTTTTCATATGATCCCTTCTTTCGACTCCAAAACCAGAATTGCAGCATCTTCAAACCTCTCCCTGACTGTAATACTTTTTCTCCCTCTTCCTCTTTAAAGGACTGGTAATTACATCAGTCCTGTTTAGATAATCTGTGATGTAATCAGCTGATCAGCAGTCTTGATTCTATTTGCTACCTTAGTTTCCCCTTCTTATGTAACATAGAGTTGATACATATTGCTGAGATTAGGACATAGACATGTTTTGGGGAGGCGGAGTGGAGGACCTAATTTCCCCTTACAAGTATAATGGTCTTGATTGTTACAAGCATGTCTTAGTGTTCTTTCCACTAAAATCTCTTAATGTTGATGTTTCCTTTAACATAGGTTAATGACAACTGGTTAGCTGTTTTTCAAAAAATTATAGGTGAATTACAAAATGATACTATAGTAGGCCTTTATATTATATGTTTTGTATAATTAAACTAAAACTTCTTAGTAATGGCTTGACCAAAATATTGTTAATAGAATGGACATTGTTCCAAGAAGAAAGTTCCATTTAAACACTGTTGGTGATTAAGAGTTGTGAAATTCGAAGAATAAACTCCAAAAGATTTTTAAGAGTTAGTGGCAAATATGATTAGTAGTAAAATGGAGTGGTCTGTGAGAACGGTTAACAAACCATTTGTCTACTTAATTTAAATATTCAATTAATAAGGTGTGAAAATTTCATGTAATCAAAAGAGAAGAAAAAATTAAAAGAAATAACGAAAACTAGAAAGTATGTAAAATTACATTGTTTCTGAGGAAGAATACAGGTGGAAGAGCACAAAATGAGACTGAGCAGTGTTTTAAAATTGGGGTTTCTATATAAATGGGAAAAAGGAAAGTGAACAAGTAGATTTTCTGACTTTCCTATGTTTTAAAATTATAATTTAATGAAAATTTTATATGCAATTTTCATATGTAATTTGAGTAGTGAATTTCATTTAAACTGCTCTCTCATTCCCTACATTCAGACTTACATCTGGTTTATTGACACAGTCAGTGCCAATCTGACGTGCTGCTTCAGAACATTCATTGACATCAGTTTCGCAGTTTTGACTGAGAACTTCTTTTGGGCATTCACAGATGTAAGCAGAGCAGCATTTTTGCCAATTTTTTTCTTCCCAATGAGAATAAGGATTAGGAGGTTTCATGAGCTCCTCACAGAATGGGCCTTGAAAAATCACATATAGAAACAGAGACATACACAGAGAGGGATTGGGAGCAGAAAGGGAAAAAGAAAAAGAGAAAATATGAAGAGAAAGTCATTATAGAAAAAGAAAGTGAAAGTCATTATAGAAAATAGTCTAAAATGCATGGATTCTTTTTTGGTACAGAATTGTATGTGTTTTTATTTTTGTAATTTTTAATGATTTTTTTTAAATTTAATTAGTTATACATGACAGTAGAATGCATTCATGCACTATTATTTTAAAGAGAGAGAAAGAGAGAATTTTTTAATATTTATTTTTCAGTTTTTGGTGGACACAACATCTTTATATTATTTTTATGTGGTGTTGAGGATCGAACCCAGTACCCCACACATGCCAGGCGAGCCCGTTACTGCTTGAGCCACATCCCCAGCCCTCATGCACTATTTTAATATTTATTTTTTAGTTATAGGTGGACACAATGTCTTCATTTTATTTTATGTGATGCTGAGGATCAAACTCAGTGCCTCACACATGCTAGGTGAGCGCTATACCTCTGAGCCACAACCACATCCCCATTTATGTACTTTGATACAGCATACATAGATGTGATATAATTTCACATTTTTCTGAAGGTACATGTTGCAGAATCATATTGGTCATGTAGACACATATATAGAGAGAGTAATAATGTCTGTTCCATTCTACTATATTTCCCATCCCCACATCCCCTCTCTTCCCCTCTGATCACTTCCCTCTACCTAATCTAAGGTAATGGTATTCTTTACTAGTGCCCCCTGCCTTATTGTGAAATAATATTTGCATTTTGTGGGATTGGCCTATTTTGCTTAGCATGATATTCTCCAGCTCCAACCATTTACTGGCAAATGCCATAATTTCACTCTTCTTTAAAGCTGAGTAATATTCCATTGAGTATATATACTACATTTTCTTTATCCATTCAGTGATTGAGAGGCATCTAGGTTGGTTCCATAGTCTAGCCATTATGAATTGTGATGTGGCTGTGTCACTATAGGCCTTGCGTCACTATAGACCTTGAAAAATCACATACAGAGACAGAGACATACACAGAGAGGGATTGGGAGCAGAGAGAGAAAAAGAGAATTTTAAGTCCTTTGGGTATAAACCAAGGAGTGGGACAGCTGGGTCAAATGGTTGTTCCATTCACAATTTTCTGAGGAATCTCCCTACTGCTTTCCATAGTGGTTGCCCCAATTTGCAGTCCCACAAGCAATGTATGAGTGTACCATTTTCACCACATCTTCACCAACATTTATTATTGCCTGTATTCTTGATGATTGCCATTCTGATAGGAGTGACAGGACATCTTAGAGTAGTTTTGATTTGCATTTACCTAATTGCTAGAGATGTTGAAACACTTTTTCGTATAATTGTTGATCAGTTGTTGTTTGACAGAATGCAGGGTATTTTTTTTACGTATTTATTAAGAGTTGATTTGGGACATATGATATGGTCTATTTTAGAGAAGGAGCATGTGCTGCTGAGAAGAAAGAATATTTGCTCATTGATGGATGAAATATTCTATATATGTCTGTTAAGTTTAAGTTATTGATTGTATTATTTAGTTATATAATTTTCTTCTCTAGTTTTTGTTTGGAAGATCTGTCCATTAGTGAGAGAGGTGTGTTAAAGTCACCCAGTATTATTGTTTTGTGGTCTATTTCACTTCTAAAATTGAGAAGTGTTTGTTTGATGTATATAGATGCTACTCTTTAGGGCATAAATATTTATAAGTGTTATGTCCTACTCATGTATACTTCCCTTAAGAAGTATAAAATGTCCTTCTTTGTCTCCTCTAATTAACTTTGGTTTGAAGTCTACTGTATCTGAAATGAGAATGGAAACCCTGCTTGTTTACGCAATCCATATGAGTAATAAGTTTTTTCCCATCCTTTCACCTTCAGCCTGTGGTTGTCTTTGTCCATGTGGTGAGTCTCTTGAAGACAGCATATTGTTGGTTCTTGCTTTTTTAATACAATCTGCCAGTATATGTCTTTTGATTCATGAGTTTAGGCTATTAACATGCAAGGTTATTATTGAGATATTATTTGTATTCCCTGTAATTTTGATTTATTTCTGCTTTTTGATTTGTCTTAGTTTCTCATTTAGTTGAAAATCCCTTTAGTGTAGGTCCTCCCTTTGCTGGTTTTCATTTTTTTTTTCCACTTCATCCTCCCGGAATATTTTTTTGAGAATGATCTGTAGTGTAGGCTTTCTAGTTTTGAATTCTTATAATCTTTGTTTATCATGGCTTGTGTTAATTTAATCTGCAAATCTGAAACTTAATTTTTCTTTATATAAAATTTTTGATTGGCATCCATTTTCTTTCAGAGCTTGAAATATATTATTCAAGGACCTCCTAGCTTTGAGGGTCTGGGTTGAGAAATCAGTTGAGATCTGAATTGGTTTCCCCCTATAGGTAATTTGATTTTTTTTTCTCACAGCCTTTAAGATTTTATCTTTATTCTGTGTTAGTCATTCTCATTGTAATGTGTCTTGGTGTGGGTCTTCTGTAATTTTGTATATTTGGGGTCCTATAAGCCCCTTGTATTTGATTTTTCATTCCATTTTTTAGGTTTGGAAAATTTTCTGCTGTTATATCATTGAAAATATTGGGCATTCCTTTGGTTTATATCTCTGCTCCTTCATTTATTCCAATAACTCTTAAATTTGGTCTTTTCATGTTATCCTATAATTCTTGGATATTCTGTTCATGGTTTCTTAACATTGTCTCTGCAGGTTCAACTCTACTTTCAAGATTACATATTTTATCTTCATTGTTTGAGGTTCTGTCTTCCAAATAATATAGTCTATTGGAGGTGTTTTCTATTGAATTTATAATTTGGTTTACTGATTCCTTCATTTTAAGGATCTCTCCTTTTTTATTTTTCATGATCTCTAACTTTTATTGAAGTGGTCTGTATTTTTTCTTTAATTTCACTCCTTATACTATACTTTACTTCACATATCAATTTAACTATATACAATCTGAACTCTTTCTTGAACATTTCTTTTATTGTGTTATCAGTAGCTTCTGTAGTTGAAGCATCTTGGTTTATTTGGAGTGCTTTATTCCCTTGTTCTTTCATGTTATTAGAGTGTTTTCCCACCTAAATGTATAGATCTAAGGTAGAATGAATTCTACCTTGTAGAACTATAGTGTCTCTGAGGTTTCCAGTGCTTCAACTTTACTTATGAGATGAATATCAACAGCACTCAGTGTACACAATATATAGCCTTAAACCTAATAGCTTCCACTAAGGCATCTAACTGCTTTCTCATATTAAACCAAAATAATGGGTTCAATAACCATCTATAGTACAAACAGAATAGTTGTTAAAATAATTTACAGTTTCAAATGGTAGATGAGAGAACAGCAGTAGTGTAGTATGGAATATTTGCAAGGGACTAAGAGAGAAGCTAGAGTAAAAATTCACAGGAAGAATAGAAGAGAAACCTACAGAGATTAACTGTTGGTTGGAAAAAAGTTGGAAAGAAAATAGACAAGAGAGGAAGAATATGAACAAAAAGAAAAAAAAAATTGAAGACATAAGAATACAAAAAAATGCAAAACACCATTCATATATCATTGTTCTCCACACATTGATGCATAAAAGACATCCTGTCTTTTTGGAAATATGATATTTGAAAATATAATAGAGATTAGTGAATCGAAAAATAAAATAAATCTTTCAGGAAAGTCAAACTGTCTCTGTCATGTTCAACAGTTTGTCAGCCCTTTCTCTGACATCTCTCGGGATCACCAAACCTAGATTTGTCCTCTCAAACCCAGTCTCTTATCTCACCAATTTAGGCTTCAGACACCTCAGGCTCAGTGACACTGTAATTCCAAGATCTCAATGCTGCTCCTACTTGCAGAGAGACCACCAGGATACACTCATGCAAATGACCAAACCGAGATGCAGCAGCAAGACAAGGGCCACCAGCTCCCCCAAACCTGCAGGCACCCCCCACACTGAATCTGCAAGTCTCAGCTAGAGTCCCCAGACACAGGCTCTTATGGTGGTAAACCTGCTGGCACCCAGGAATCAGTTTCTGGCTGGTGTCCCAAAATGGGTGCAGCCACATGCAACCAAACCTGAAGTCTTCCCTGAAAGAAGTCCTCTAGGCCATGGTAGCAGGGGTAGCAGCTGTGGTTGTTGGCAGCAGACAGTGTATCAGTAGTAGCCGTGGCAGCTGTGGGGCAGTGTCACCAAGTGATCTTCAGGGGTCAGCAGCAGTGTTGGCTTCAGTTGCATCCAGGGCAGTGGTGTCTCCTGTGGCAGTAGTACCCAGAAACAAGACATCCAAGTGATCTCAGGCTGGCAGCAGTGGAATCAGAGGCGGCACCAATGGTGATAGAGGTACAGGCAGCATTTGATTGACAGATGACTTCAGCAGCAACCATAGAGGCAGCCTTGGAATTCAGAATTCAAGTCAGAGGTAACCCAGGCTGTGCCCAGAGAAGAGACCTCCAGGTGATCTCAGGCTGGCACAAGCAGAATCAGAGGCTGCAGCAATTGTGAATGGATTCCTTAAACAGGCTTATTGTAGTATTACTTCCATATCAAGGGATTTTCATACTGAAAATTATAACCCAATAACTTTGGCAAATATATAGATTATTTTATGTTTTTTTATTATTTTGCTAATTTAATAAAATGTATATATCTAATGATAAATGCATATTACTAGAAGCCAATTTTAGCACATTTCCATTGGTGAGAGAGCGCTTTAATTATTATTGAATACATGTTTTGAATAGGTTCTTTGTATATTCCAGATGCTAGTTATTTATGATATATGTCACCTGAAAATACTGTCTCCCTGGTTTACCTATTCATTTTCAACTTGGTGACTTTTGGATAACAAAAATTTTGATTTGATTAAGTCTAATGTATCAATTGTATTCTTTATTTAAGACCAATTGGTACTATTTTCTTTTACATGATTTAGTGTAATATCTGATAACTCTTTGCTT